TAAAAAAAAAATGTTACGCTGTTAAACTGTGAATTCAATCGATTGTCAATCTTGATTCTAAATTATATTTAGAACAGAAGAAACTATATAATATATATATACATATATATATATATATATATATATATGTTAATATCAATAGTATATTAATTTATGATGAAATTGTCGGTTACCGGATCACTTGCATGAACGTCCCCTCTAGCCACATTTCTCAGCATCTATGATACATGATCAAAACCTCACATCCATATCTCTATCCAATCATGATTTTGGACGGTGGTGAATGACTATTGTAATGCAATATTATTGCCAGTAACAGCCAATTTCTCTCTCTTTCTTTTTTATTTTTTTTAAATTTTCGTGTTTTTCTTTTTTGGATGAGATCCAAGGGTGTCCACCGCCGACAACAGTGACTAATCCCTTTCGCCGCGGGAGCTCTCCCAAAGGAGGTAAACGGCTGGCCACGAAATGCGTTCCATTCCCATAGGCGGGGATCGAACCCCCAACCACATGGTTAAGGAATGAGGTGAGCTACCACCACATCACATCTCATGGTTCAAGTAGCTCAACATTTCAGTTAACATGTATTAATTTATTTAAATTCAGTAATAATTAAATTTATATTTTTAAACTTATCTTATTTTTTTATAACTGGGCAATAAATAAAAATAATGGATGTGTGACTGACTTTCCAAACTTTTCAATATTTAACAGAAGTTTGAAAGGAACCCCACTTCAACTCTTCTTTTATATTTATTTTTTTGCATTTTTTCATATTATTTTTTTCTTTTTTCTTTTTCTGGGGTTTTTCTTCCCAGAAAAGCTTTTAAAGTTGGATTCAAGTACAAATTATTGAATAACATTAAGGGTCCATTTTGGATGAAACGGTCGACTTATAATTAAGTAATTCAGATTTAAGTTTTCTGTATAAATTAAAATTATATTGGTTGAATTTTAGAAATGTTCAGTCCAATATATCATTGAAAGGAAATTGGGATTGAATTGTTTGTTGTATTCTTCTCTCTTTGGAGAAAGGTGAATAGAGAATGGATCGGCTGTCTCCAATTTGGTGTCCCTTCTATGTACAAGTTGACTTATAATGTAAGGACAAATAAAATCATCCTAAATAAGAATTCCCTATTATATAAGCTACCAATGTTATAATAAATTTTTTTAAATTAATAAATAGTTATCCAAAAACACTTTTGGTATGGCCAAAAGTAAATCCAAGCAAAGGTGGCTTTTGGGAACAGACAAGCAAGAGTTCAAAAACTAAAAAATATATATTATTGTAAACGACAATGACACAATAAGAGCTTTCAGATGAGTGCTAAAGCTAGAGCTCGCACGGCTAAAATGTCTTTTTTCCGTACACGAACAAAAAAATGTACCCTTCCCCATCAACTTTTTATTTTTATTTTTACCAAAAAAAATATATCCCTCCTCTATGACATCCACTTGTTTCACTGCCCTCAAACTACCACATACCAAATTTAGGAGGAGCTTACACCACTTACTTCTCTATATACACCTTATTAGTCTCCCCATTGCTCTACCACACGACCTTGGCTCATCCAATGTTTTTCCAATCTCTCTCTTCTTCTTCTCTGTCTTCATCAGTCTCTCAAAAGCTCAGATGGTTCCGGCCATTTACATGTTCGGCGACCCCTTAGCCGATGTGGGTAACAACAATTACCTAAAGATCTCTCTTGCCAAGGTTAATTTCCCACACAATGGTGTTGATTTTCCCACCAAGATAAAGCAACGGGAAGGTTTGGGAATGGCAAGAATGCTGCGGATTTTCTTGGTAAGTTAAATAATTCAATTACTTACATCATCACTCGTGGCTACAGACTGTCTATGCATGTTGTGACAATGAGAGGGTACGTCATGGATATATATAAAATACATAAGTGAGAGATGGGCATAGGCTTTCTTGTAAGTGAGAGATCATAAGTTAATGTGTATGTATCTCTTTTTCGTTTGGCAGCCGAGAAAGTTGGGTTACCAACATCACCACCCTATCTCTAACTTGTATCCAAGTCCAACAAGCAAAAACCGTCCTTCCTCGCCGGAGTTAGCTTCGCCTCCGGAGGGGCTGGAATCTTCAATGGCACAGATGAACAATACGTAAGCACTATTGAAACAAAAGATATTCTCAATAAGCAGTACTCTTCCAAAAAATTAAAAAATATTTCGTTGGCACGTGTAATATATTCCAACAAATTGCTTTACAACCCAATTCATTCTTTCTACATGAGGTGGGATCTATATAAGACCCACTTATGAAAGTCGGTGGAAAATGTCAAGACTGATGTTATTTGTACCATATTTATTGATTACATTATTGATCACTTTTTTAATACAAATTGGTCTCATATATATCAGTGAGACCCACATTTACTGATTATATTGTTTCTAATATAGATAGATCCCACATATATAAGAGTTCAGCAAAGTAATCAATAAATATGGTACAAATAGTATTATTGAATCACATTAAAAAAAAAAAAGTATTATTGAATGCATAAAGTCCAATGGCCTTGTCTATTTTACTTTTGTTGTCACAGCGTCAGTCGATTCCCTTGTCATATCAAGTAAACTACTATTCGCAAGTGTATGAAAACATAGGGCTAGAATTGGGATCCAACAGTGCCCAGGACCACCTATCAAATCTCTGTTTGTCATTGTGATTGGAAGCAATGACATCTTCGGCTACCACCCACGCTCTGCAAGGAAATAACACCCGACCAGTACGTAGATTCCATGGTCTCAAATCTAAAACAACAATTAGAGGTAACAAAACAGACTTTAGCTTAGCTCCATGTTATTTGATGTTATATTGAGATTTCAATTGATTTTCCCTTTGGTTTTTGTTTTGTTTTGGCAGAGAATACATTCTTTTGGCGCTCGAAAATTTGTAGTTGTTGGGACTGCGGTAGTTGGATGCTGCCCAGCTCAAAGGGCTTCAAATGACGGAGAGTGCAACGAAGATGCAAACTCCATGTCTGTCCACTACAATGACAGCCTTAAGTCGATGTTACAGCAATTGAAAGCAGGATTGCACATAAACTACACCTTCTTTGAGACTTACAGTGTCATCACTGACATCATTCAAGACGCAGCCTTAAGTCGGTATTTATCTTATTTTCCTACTCCACTAGTCTTTCCCGCATGTAATGTTATCAAACTGAAAAGTAAGCGCGTGCATTTGTTATTCGCCAATTTCCCTAGATACTAAGTGCGTGCATTCTTATTCGCCAATTTCCCTATAAACTTCTTTTTTTAGTTAACTTGACTGAGAAATTCCAAATTCCATATGCCATTCCAGGATTTACAAAGACCGAAGCGGCATGTTGTGGTATTGGAAGCTTAACGCCATCGCTGCTTGCCTGCCAGTTTCGTCTTTGTGCTCCAAGAGAAGGGACTACGTCTTCTGGGACCGATTCCATCCTACAGAGGCAGGCAACTCATGGTAGCTTGGTGGACAAACTTTTCGGTGGTCCTTCAGAATACACATTCCCAACGAATGTGAAGGAGTTAATTGCTCAATAAAACCTCAAGGAAGCATACTCCTAATGAAAGACCCCCGCCCACCTTACCTTCTCAATGGGCCAATCGATTTTTCAGATGCAATAGAAAATTCAACATGTAACTTTAGTTTGCTTATAGAATACGAAACAATTATATACCAGCATCGCGCTTCACATGATTGTTAAAAATAAAAATAAAAAATAAAAAAAACTTCAATTTTAATATTCTACTTAAGAGGAAAAAATGATATATAGAAGAACTATCTGACCTAATGAATCAACCTTTCTCTTCAATGGAGAAGGGAAAGTATTGCTGGCCTGCCAGACGCAACTTTCAACCTTTCTGCATTCACAATGTTGGCGAAATTTTCTGCAAAGCGAAGTATAAAGTTTCCTAAGATTAGAAGCAACTGTTATTTAAATACTTAATTTCAGATTCATATTCTTACTTACAAGACAGGTGGCTTAAAAAAAGTTACCTTTAGTGCTTGTTTAGGACTCAGTTGAAAATAAGCCCTGAAAAAACAGATCTATATCACCTTTGTGAAAATCAAATGCCAACATCTTGTCCACCAGATTCTGCATTTAAATTAAGCAAAAAGAAACAAATTAAAGAAAAATTCTACAATTATAGCTGAAGGATATGAACGGAAAATTTAATTCTGGCTTCTTATGAACTTGTTACTCTATATAATGTTATGTTTCATATCTCAATCTGAGATTCCGTTTTGGGATTGAAACCTGGTATTGCTGATCCTGAGCTGATACACTCTCATTGCACAATCGCTCAACGTGTTCATTGTTTCCAAGAGCTTCCAATATAAATGCTGCTCTCTTAATAACTTCCTCTGGGACACCTATGTAAACAATACAAACAGTTCAACTAGAAAACTGAAGCTGCCACCAAGAGTTCCTTAAGATTTTAGTCCAGGGAAGGAAATACATGTATGTGAACCCAAAGACTCATTTCATTCATCTGTGTGTGTGTGCATGCTTGTGTCTGCGACGAGAACTCAAAAGATCTTTTTCTCCCAATTCTGGAAATCAGGAACACAAGTTTTAAGCTCCAAAGAGGTACCAGCAAGTAGCGCACAATGCAGACCTGCAGGATGTAAACAGACTGTGATTCCAAGGCATCCCAAACTTACATAGATGCAAATACATACGTTTATATACATATATACAAATGCTAAGACATTTTCCAATTAGTAATTTAATAAGGCACTTATCATGTTTTAAGCCATTGAATCAAGCAAGTGCATTATTAAAAGGCTGACCGGTGAGAACCTTAGCATCCCCATCCCCATCCCCCCTCTTTCCATATATATGCATGTATTCACTCACCATAGCTTAGAAGGGCATGCCCAGGAACTAGCCTGCAAGAAATAAAAATCAAAGCTTTCAGTCAAAGACACTTGTCTCTCTACTATTTGCTTTGCCAAGCCTCCTTGGTATCGATTGTCAACTGACTCCTTCAGTTGAAGACCATTCTCGTTGCACTAACACAGTTCCGATCCTTACTCGATTGTCACCCATCGCTTAGTTCTGTTTTGAACTAGAATTGATACAAGGTGGTGGCAACGTGTAGTTCTGATCGATCTGTTTTATTTACTTTCACTTGTTTTTTCATTGTTTTATTTACCTTTATCGCCATTTACGTTGTATTGAAGTCCTTATTTGTCTTAAGGCATAAAAAAGAATCTCAATTCAATAATTTACCATTCAATTCACAGTCTTTCGATTAGAATCGGTTTACTTGGTGTGTAAATTCTCTTATTTATTTATATGTCCGTCTATTAAAATTAATTAATTGTTAATAATAGTTGGTTGGCAAGTCGCACTTTCCCAAAATATGCTCTATGATTTTGTTCAGGGTAAACAAAACAACTACAATAATTGTTTGAATAAATTTTGTGTGGAAATACCATATCATTGACCATAGATATGTTCCCACGCATCAAAGATGAATTGAAATTAAAATGGACCCAAAAAATCAAAAACCATTTCAAACGGAACAAAGAGTGTGACACCGATCCTTGGACTAGTCCACATTTCACTCATTATTTTGTGAGGGTTGAATTGAACAACTCATTTTGTAGCGCACCCCATTTTCATTGGTAGCCAGCCCCTCCACTAAGCTTTGCGGTGGCGTCGCATTCTCATCTGAGAATTCCTTCTTGGGGTTTTTTTTTCTTCTTCTATTTGGATTGATTCATAGAATTAGTAATGATATGCCCTATTTACCTACACCTAAGCTAGAGTTAATGGATTACATGCTCACTTATCCAAATTAATTACTCATACTCTTGTTCAAAGCATCCGGTGTTAGATCTTTTCTTAGTCATATTCTGACCTCACCAAACTGAATTACGTACTCACGAAACTTGTCGACATCTCAACCAACAAAAAAGATTATAATTTTTTATAAAAAAACAAGGGAAAGGATTATCAAAATCACAAAGATAAAACTGTGACCTTTTGTGATTATGAAAGGCTATGTCTTTGTATGGATTCTGATTTCGAACCGTCAAAGTAGCTATTTTTTCTTTCACGCAAAGAATTATTAGAAAGATGAATATGTTCTAAGTTATAAAGTTTTTTATTTATCTGAAATTATACTATGAGTTCAAAAGAAATTACATTATCAAAACTTGCCATTAAAAAAAAGTTACAAAACTATGAAAAATATAAGTTGTGTGCACTTCCTCTCTAGCCGCACAGACCTTGAGGGGGGAGGAGGTCACTGTTCCTCCTCCTCCCCTCTCCTCTCTTCCTCCCTTCCTTTTGCTGCTTGGATGCACAAATCACCCTCTCTTATTTTTCCCTCTCTTGTCCTCTCATCTTCTTCCCACTCCATCTCCCTTCACTTCTTAAAAGCCCATCCCCTCACCTTCCCTCTCCTTTTTTTTTTTTTTTGTTTGTTTGTTTGTTTGCAAATTTAGGGTTTGGGGACGACATAGATGCCTTTGTTGGATCGTTTTTTAGCTCTCGGGTTCTAGCTCTTGATTTACTTCATGTGTTTTAGTTTTAGTTTGTAATAAGTGCATCAACTCTTTTTGAGTTTGTTGCGTGTTTGTAGTCTCTACTTGTAATTTTTTACTTGTGAGAGTTTAAACATTGTAGTTTGCAGTTGTAATTTTGTACGTTGTGGTTTTATATCGCAATTTCTTTGGCCCTTTATGGCTATGTGTGGAGGTACACTTGTGCGTCTTTAATTTTGTACTAGCTACGGCTGCCTGAATTATAAATGCAATATATCGTCTTTATCTCAAGAAATTTTAAAAAATGAATATAATCATACATGTCGCAAAAGTAAAATGACTTAAATCAACAACAACAAATGTGTGAATTACAGGGAACTTAAATATTTTTAGTTTTAGACTTATCCCAAATTTTCTATATTTATTTTGATGTACATATATGTTTTATAGTAATATTTAATAATTCAGGTGTACATATCTCTATCCATCATAAAAGTCAAAACGGAAAACGTACAAAATTGCAGCATATAAAAATTGGGCAACGTAGTCTTTTGAGTAATCAGATGGATAGAAAATACACAAAAATACAAACAAACGTTCCAATAAGGAAGAGCAGAAACATGAAGAAGCAAAGCTTGGTGCGTGGAGTGTTGGGCGGTGGTCAGACTGCTGCCAGCTTGTGGGGGCAGCTTGTGGGGGAAAATCTTGTGGGGGCAGCTTCTTCTGTCATTTGATGTGGTTCCAATTAGTTCAACATTTCAGTTAACTTGTATTCAAATCCACAATTCAAACTTATCTTAAAACATTTTTATATATTATATTTTTCTTTTCCTTTTTGTGGGTTTCATAACGAAAAGGGTTTTTTCTCCAGTACAAGTGATAGTCTATAAATTATAAGGGAGGAAGTTTTTCACACGCATATAATTACGATGTCATGAAGGTTTGAACCTGAGACCACTAGTCTACAACTCAAGGCCCTTTTCCCACTACCCCGTTGATCCCAGAAAAGCATTTAAAGTTAGAACTCGTGTACAAATTATTGGATATCATTAAGTTCCCGTTTGACATTGCTTATTTGGAGTGATAATTGATTTTTTTTTTTTAATTTTGGGAAACCCAGCCCGTTTGGGAAACTATAAAAAAAATCACTTATTGTTAAAAATTGTTGTAAGAGAAAGCTATAAGTGAAAGCAGCTAATGAGGTGCTTTCATTCTCTGATTATGCAGGAATCAATTTCGAAGAGACGCTGGTTTTAATGATTTTGCGGCAATCATTTTCTAATTATGCGGGAATTAGTACCAACAACACTTTAACAAAAATTTTACCAAACGTCAAACTGCTTTCTCTCATAGCTGATTTATCTCACAGCAAATTTGACAGTGATTATTTTTACAGCACAGCAATGCCAAACTGACTCCCTTTTGGATGAAAAAGGTCTATGTATGGGTAAGTAATTCGGATTTGAGTTTTCAGTGTAAATTTAAATTATATTTATTGAATCTTAATGTTCGATTCAATATATAAGCCATTAGCAATGCTACAATTAAAATTTTAAAAATTAGTTATCCAAAAACACTTTTGGATGGGCAAAGTATTTCCAAACAAAAGTTTATTTTGGGAATATATATGTGTGTGTGATGACAAGCAAGAGTTCAAAAACAAATTAATATATGTGATGACAATGATACAATAAGAGCTTTCATATGAGTGTTAGACTAGAGCTAAAGCCCACGCGGCTAAAATGTCTCCCTTTCATACACGAAAAAAACAATGTAGCCTTCCCTCATCAACTTATCTCTCCTCTATAAGAAGAGGACATCCACTTGTTTCACTTGCCCTCAAACTATCACACAACAAAAATATCACCCACCAGATTTAGAAGGAGCTTACAACACCTATTGCTTGCTACCATATGACCATGGCTCCTTCCAATGTTTTTCCAATCACTTTCTTCTTCTTCTTCACCTTCTTCTCTGTCTTCATTTCTCTCTCAAAAGCTCAGATGGTTCCGGCCATTTACGTATTCGGTGACTCCTTAGCCGATGTGGGTAACAACAATTACCTAAAGATCTCTCTTGTCAAGGCTGATTTCCCTCACAATGGTGTTGATTTTCCCAACAAGAAAGCAACCGGCAGGTTTGGAAATGGCAGGAATTCTGCCGATTTTCTTGGTAAGTTCAATATATTTCAATTACTTACATCATCACTCGTGGCTACAGACTGTCTATGCATGTTTTGAGAATGAGAGAGAACCTCCTGTGTATATATATATATAAGTGAGATGTGTTTACGGTTCTTGTAGTAAGTGAGATCTCATATGTGTATGTATCTCTTTTTCGTTTGGCAGCCGAGAAAGTTGGGTTGCCAACATCACCACCCTATCTCTCACTTGTATCCAAGTCCAACAAGCAAAATTTGTCCTTTGTCGCCGGAGTTAGCTTCGCCTCCGGAGGGGCTGGAATCTTCAACGGCTCAGACGAAAAATTTGTAAGCACTAAGAATATATATATTGAAATAAATAAAGATATAACGCATTCTGTCAACAAAAAAATAAAATAAAATAATTGAACAAATATTTCTTTTGCACGTGTAAAATATTCCACCAAATTGCTTTACAACCCAATTCATTCTTTTTACATGAGGTGGAATCGGTACAAGATCCACTTATGAAAGTTGGTGAAAGATGTTATTAGAAAAGTTGGTTCCAATCCCAACTCAGCTAAGTTATGCCAGATGTCTAAGAGTGATGTTATTTGTACTATATTTATTAATTATTTTGTTTATCACGATTTTAATATATACGGGTTCCACATATATTTGTGAGGTTTGTCTCTATTATAGAGATTAGCAAAGTTGTCAATAAATATGACACAAATAATATTATTAAATCACATAAGAAAAGAAATATTATTGAATGTGTAATATATAATGCCTTGTCCATTTTACTTTTTGTTGTCACAGCGACAGTCAATTCCTTTGTCATATCAAGTAAACTACTATTCACAAGTGTATGAAGACATTGGGCTAGAATTGGGATCCAACGGTGCCCAAGACCATCTATCAAAATCTCTGTTTCTCATTGTGATTGGAAGCAATGACATCTTTGGCTACTTTGACTCATCCAAGCTCCGCAAGGAATCAACACCCGACCAGTACGTAGATTCCATGGTCTCAAATCTAAAACAACAATTAGAGGTAACAAAACAGGCTTTAGCTTAGCTCCGTATTTGATTGATGTTATATTGAAATTTCAATTGCACTTCAATGTTCAACATTTTCCCTTTGGTTTTTGTTTTGTTTTGGTAGAGAATAAATTCTTTGGGCGCTCGAAAATTTGTAGTTGTTGGGACTGCGCCAGTTGGATGCTGCCCAGCACAAAGGATTTCAAATGACGGAGAGTGCAACGAAGATGCGAACTCCATGTCTATCCGCTACAACGACGGCCTTAAGTCGATGTTACAGCAGTCGGAAGCGGCATTGCACATAAAATACACCTTCTTTGAGACATACGGTGTTTTCTCGGACCTCATTCAGAACGGCTCTTCTTACGGTAC